CTTCAACTATGAAGTTGCTCTGCCGGGGTCGCGTTCATCTGCATCGCAGCTTCGTCGACCTTCTGTTTTTTTTTTTTTTTTATTGGAAAAATGAAAGACGCGAATTCGTTAATTCGTCGTCGAAGCGTTAAAGAGCACTCGGCGATAAAAAAAAAAGGAAATCTGCGTAGCGCGCATGTATGTCAAGGATCAGTGGTGAAAAACAAGGGAAGGGGGTGGAAAATGAAATATCGAGTAATCGCGTACACTGGTGGCGATGTAACGTGGGTCTAGCGAGCGCTTGCGCCAGGAAGCCACCTGTAGCCCTGCTGCCGCTAGCCCAATCGATACACTACGGCCCACTGCTACACGCAGACACAGGCGCACAGACATCGATGAGGGTTTTCTCTTTCTCTGTCTTTCTCAACGATTGGCTTTTTAAAGCGAGCGTGTCTCGTTACGACGATCGTTATCTCGCCATCTAGCCCTGTTATCTCTACACATTTTACGCTTATCTGCTGCTTTGTCTGCTCGTCTGTGCCAAAAAAGAATCCAAAAAAAAAACTGTTTTTTTCTTTTTGTTATTTTCGTCCTGTACAGCTGATATTTCTCCCTATCTTCGTTCAATGCTACTTACGGGCTAAGCCGGAAATAATGGCGTGCTGCCTATGGTCTATACCTGTTTATTTATGAAAACTGGTAAATCTCGCTTGGACCTTTCAATTTCATTACTTTTGCAATGAAACGACGCAAATTGACATGCTCTAATTTGCTTTCAAAAGTCTCGTAACTTCGAAAAGCCCCAACCTCGGAAAATACTCATTAACCAAGTGGAAATAATTTGATTTGAAAAGCAGCGACAACTTGGAAAATCCATTGGTTTCTGCAGAATTCAGTCCGAATAGTGAATACGTATGATGTGAGATAACTTTATACATTTTAGCTTAAATAAAAATGATCGACGCACTCGGCAAAACGCTTTCGACGAGACGGTAATTGGAAACTGGATAATGGCCATTGGAATGCATATTCGAGAAGCAGCGAGATCCCGACGCACGACTGCTGGCCAATGCAGAAAGCTGAGCAGCCGCGTGCGTGGCGATTGCTCGCGAATAATAGAGCATAATCTGCGCCGGTAAATGCCAGGAAGCCGAAAAGCGCCTTAGCCGTAAAAGGGAAAAGCCGTGCACGGCCATGAAAGAGTCCGTCCGACGCGCTAGCAGGCATTGTTTACAGCTGAGATTCATCAGCAGAAAAGCGACTGCAAATTCTCGCTTGTAATTCCTTAGAGGGCAGGCTCTCGCTTGGTCGCCCCGGCGAAAAGCTGCCGACGTCCTCTCGCTTGTCCGCCACAGCCAGGCGGAGGAGGCTTAGCGGAAAGGCGAAAGTAAGCTATATTCTCCGGGAGGAAAGACACGCGCGTCTCCGCTAACGTCGCATTAACGGGCAGCTTTCGATGAAGTCTCTGTCTCCCTCTCTCTCTCTCTCTCTCTCTCTCTCTCTCTCTCTCCTCTGTCGAGCGAAACTGATCACATGCTATCAGACGTTGTCCAGTTTTGCGTGTAGTATATTTGAATGCACAACACCTGTACGTGCTAAAGTTTGTCAGCTACAGTACCATATGCTCGCGAGGGTGAAAGGTATGTCGGACAAACAGGTCGACAACAATAGGGGACACGCGTGATAGAGATAAGCCAGATATATGTATGTACGCTCTGTATGGCAAGCTTGCGATAGAAATGCAAGACTGCCGTACGTATGAATATGCATCACGCCGCGAATTGCAACTCGTCCACGCGGAAAATCGCCGGGATCAGCAGCTCTATCGCACTTACCCGAGCTTCAATAAGCCGCTTTTTGCCGCGTAGGCGTGCTTCTCATCGACTCGCGCGCTGCGCACTATAACTGATTTCCATCGAACGCACAATTCGTTAATTGAATCTCTATCCCAGCGCGTGAAAACTCGCATCTGTGTCTCGTCGGAGGCATTGATCGAAACCACCCTGCGCGAAGTGTCTCCTTGGTAGAAAGATTTACCGCTGCTCACGGCCAGTTTCTAAGAAAGTTGTGACGTGTGTGAATCACGCGACAAAGCGAAATAGAAGCCACGCGAAACGTCAGTGCGACAGATGACGATAAATCGCGATCAACTCATCCTTCAATAGCGAATTTGTGTTCACAGCGCCAGTAACGCCGGGACAGAACACCGTTGGCGCGTAAACTTGGCAAATGTAATCGGCTTGCTAATCACCATAACACTCTGGGAACGCGTATCACACACGCACTCATGGATGGTGAGGTGGAGAGTATGTGTGTGTGTGTGAGAGAGAGAGAGAGAGAAGTAGCCTTGGATGTAAAGCGTAAATTCTAAATATAAACTGCGTCAGGGCTGCGCGCAGAGATATCGATTCCAGCCCAGCGGAACAGGGGATGCTTAAAGCCAGCCCAACGGCGACGGTGAGTAGAGGGAGATACGTACGTGTGCCCGTACGCGTACGTGTGTGTGCACTGTAGCCGCGATAGAGAAAGAGAGAGAGAGAGAGAGTCTACCTTGTACCTTCGGCTTCGCCATGTGTAGGCTCTTTGTTTTTCTCTTCTCTACCCTTTTACTTGCCTCAATTGACAACCCTTTCAAGAGCGCCTCGTAAATATCATCGCGCACCCGACCAACTCAGGGGGGCTTGCCTGTTTTTCTTCATTTTCCAACACTCTTCACCCAAAAATGGTTTATCATCCTGTAATTAAATCTTCTTTCCTGAACTTTGTAATCGATACACTGCTTATTGTTTTCTTTTTATTTTCATCCTCCTACCCATTTGACAAAAGAATAACGCGTATCTAGAATTTTGATCGATGTTTCAAGTTTTTTTTAACATGAGTTTGCTTTCTAGAACGGATGGAGACTTTTTGGCAATTGAGGATTCATAGAAGAATGTTGATTGATTGCTTGACAGCTAATTGAATTTGATATTCTACGAAAATTATCTAAATTGCTTAATGAATATTGATATAGAAGTAGCCAATCACGACATTTGCTAATCACATAATTTTTATGTTTTTTTTTGTTACATTTAAGGAAGGTTTTATCAAAACTGTTACGTCATGCATAATTAATCGGAGCAATCTAATCGCGTCGCGAGCAAACAATGAGATCGCATAATGCAGTTAGCCGTTATTAAAGAGACAAAAAGTCGCGTAAACCGAGAGTAGCGAAAGAGAAGAGAAAATGACACTGATTAAAACGTTTCGCTTTTTCTTCGAAGCCGAGATCTGTGTCCTGTCTGCCGTGAGTTTTATCAAACGAGCCGAGCGAGAGCAAGTGAGTAATACAATGAAAAAGGAAGAGATTTCCAGAAAGAGAACGCGCAACCTCGACGTATACACCTTATCAATCTTTGTCGCTTTTGCTCGAGTTTAATTAATACATAAACTCGTTTATCTATATGTATATATCCTACACTCGTCTTATGCTTGATATAAAGAGCGAATTAGACGATTATCGTTGACACGCGTGAGACTTTTATCTAAATTACAGTCGGACTTTTGGGTTTAATCGTTTGGTACAGGCACATTTAAACGAGTATCTTCGAATTACAGTGTCACGTGATTGTACTTATGATAGTTACATCATCAGTTATCGAAAAACGTGGCAAACTGTTTCATCCTTTCGCGCATCAACTATTTTTTAAGTCGAGATGGTTCGCTTCGTAAAAAGCCTCCGCTAGAATCGGCATTTATACGTATAAATTAATGACTGCATTCCCCTTAGTTTCAGATTTGAAAAGTGACGCGTGCCGTGTGTTAGTGAGGTGAGTGTGTGCGCGTATAGAATTCGAACATGATCGTCGTCATACAAGGCTAAAAATCAGCGATACACACACACACACACATACACACATGGCATGGAGATTCTTTATGGGCTAATGGATAGAAAGTGCATAGAGTAAGATAGACCGAGAAAAAGAGATAGGGCGCCGATTAAACGAGAAAAAGATAGATCGGACCTAAAAATAATTTGATCGCGCGCTTCAATAACTTCCTGACCACGGAGATGCTGTGACAAAATTACTGAAAAGAGATTCGTTTCTTCTTTAAATCCTCAGTATTATAGATTGATCAACTCGTCTGAAAGTTTATGCGAGCAAGGATACTTGGTAATCGGCACGAATAAATCTTGAAAAACGTAAAATTTTATTTCGATATCGAACTGTGAATTTTTAATGTATGCTAAATGTGACTTATTTATATCCGAGTCGTTCAACATCCGAAAAATATGACTTGCTAAGATAGTGCGTGCATCATCAATCCTGTATTATTTGACTTTTTACTAATTATAGATTAGGAAAAATTAACAAATTTTATAGGTTTGTTTTTGTCTGCCTCAAAATATTGTTCAATCTGTTCAAAATTCTATAAGAAACTATATTTATAGATTATTTATAGTTTTATGTGAACTTAACGACTAATGATATCAATGAATTCATGTTGGTTGTGCCCCGCAATTTGCCAAAAAAAACTCCATTAACTTAACCTCGTTTGGTGTCATTAATGCTCAATTGTTAAAAATAATTCGTATTTTGAACTTCGCGGGTCTTTCCAGTAAAATCTCCAGCATAAACACACATACGCACGCATAGATAATATGTAGGATTTTCCATGAAGAGCATACCGACTTGAGATAAGGTAGACTAATTGATATAATTATTAATTTGAAATCCATCAAGTTCAAAATCAAAATTATTTTCGACAATTCAGCATCGATCATATCGAATGATTTTTTTCTTGCAAAGTGCGGGGACACAACTTGCTAAAACAAGCCCTTGAGTTGACCTCATTTTGTGTCATTGATGCCTAATCCTCAAAAGTAATTCGAATTTTGAACTTCGCGGGTCGCGAATAATATCCGGGCAGAGTAAAACATATAAAGCGCTCAATTGTCACCAGCTGATATGGACGACAATGGGGATATGGGAAGGAAATAAGAGATAAACATGCAGAGAAAAAGCAATGTGTAACAACAACAATAACATGATGCATTTAAAGACCAAAAGCAAACTAGTGACCTAATGACTGTCGACAAAGTGAGTGAAACTACTAATAGTATTATGAATGAAACTGAAAAGAAGTTCTTCTTAAGGCACTCCTTGAGTGTTAATAAATAACCGTCAATTGAACGGATTCATTGGACGTAATCTACCTTTGCACTTTAAGTTATTACGTCAGTGTGTATGGCTGAACTGTTATGTTTTGGTTCACTACCTACTAGTGCCAGTCACTTAAGTTATCTTTGGTTGACTCATAGAAACTCAACGGAATCTGGCTCATCAAGATTTGCTGAAAAAAGATATATCAATGAGTATCTATCTTGAAAGCTAACTATGGGGAATATGGAAGATGACCAAGCGGCTAGAGAGGCCAATAAGATTTGTGGAGTTTGTGGAGACAGAGCACTTGGCTACAATTTTAATGCTGTCTCCTGCGAGAGTTGTAAAGCTTTTTTTAGGAGAAATGCTTTGAAGAATAAGGTATTATTTAATAATTAAGAATTGTTTTTACTTTCATTTACTTTGCAGCAGGCCATTATTTTATGTAAAGTAAGATATGCACACTTGATGAGTGATACTAGATGAGGGTCAAATATTTTATGTATCTCCAAATATTCCATTTTATATTCCATAAGTTTTGAGTATGATTGCTAAAAATTTTATAAGCACATAATGTTATAAACTTCAAATACTTTATTATTTGAGAATAAATTTGGTGTAATATAATTGTTTTATTCGTTTCAGGAGTTTCGCTGTCCTTTTTCTGAAAATTGCAGTATAACACCAGTTACAAGACGTTTTTGTCAAAAATGTAGGTTGGATAAATGCTTTCGAATTGGCATGAAAAAGGAATATATAATGTCTGATGAAGACAAAGTTTTAAAAAGACAGAAAATTGAACAAAACCGAGCAAAGAAAAGACCATGTAAAGAAAATTATAAAGCAGTAAAGGCAAAAAAAGAAAGTTTAGACGATCCTAATTTTGATGATTCTACTTCTATACCATCTGTTGCTTCAGTAGCTTCTGTTATGTCTGAATCATACTTTTGGGAATCAGACAAAAAGTATGCTGACCTTGATGCCAACAAGCAATCTACAGTCGATAGTTTAAGTCCAGTTGCAGCTGCTTGTGTTCCAAGCCCTTCAAGCCCCCCTCAAAATTGCGACATTGCTAGTAGTAAGACTTTAGAAATGTTAAAAGATTCATCGCGTAATTCTATTCTCAATTTTACTCAACACAGTCAATCTGTTACATATGAAGCAGTGGACATAGATATTCCGAAAGGTTCTCCAAGTCAAGTGGACTGTCCAAGTCAAGTGAATTTTTATTCTAGTGCTAAAGAGAGTATTGAGAGTAAAGGTCAATCGAACAAAGTTAATGAATCAGTATTGAAATCTTCAAATCGATATTGTTTACGTTCCATCAATTCATCTGTATCTTCACCGAATTGTTCAAAATTAGAAAAGAGTCCACCAGCTTATACTATGTATAAGCTGCCAGAAGAAGAAAAGTCTCATAATGATTTGAATGAGTGTTTGTCAAGTAATGAAATAGAAGAAACTGTTCCAAGTGTGCCTATACATTGTTCAGAAGAAGCAATAATGTGCCAGAAATCAAAAGAAAACTGTATAAATAGAACTGATCTAGTTACAAAGATGATACATGATCCAGAATTAGTTGCTAAACTAGTTACTAATCCAAATGTTATTGCTAATGTTATTATTCAGGACCAGAGTTTGTTTACTAAATTTATAAAAGATCCAGAAATCATTAGTAAGCTTGCTTCTGACCCTCAAATATTGCAGTATTTAGAAGAAGATAAAACAGTAAGTTCTCGAATTCAAGAAACTGTGAAAACTAATTCACATCCTGAGAGATATCTTGACAATAAAATTTCTAGTAATCTTAACAAGAATGTAATTGACAGTAATCGAGGTCACGTCGAAAATCCTATTCTAACAAATCTTATTACAACGCATAGAAAAGAAGAACTAAATCAAAGAAATGATATTCCTACAACCAGTGAATGGCATGATATTACTGATGAAGTTACTAGGGATGTTTTACAAGATGTAGAAAGGTGGATAATCATTGATCAAAATTAATTTTTTATTTTTAAATAATACTACTAATACTTTAATTTTACATTTGCAGGATACCAATAACTGCAAATTCAATTGAATCAATCCTATGTGAAGCTATAAAATTAGAGTTTTCTGCTTACTCAAGCTTTGGTGGTAGTCATTATAGCAGAGAGTTAAATGATGCTGAGAGGGCCAAATTAAATGAACTTATAGTTGCAAATAAAGCACTTTTAGCTCCATTAGATGACGATATTACAAATTTGATAGGTGAAGAATGTAAATTTAAGGTAATGAAAAACTATCTTTTTAAGTAAAAAAAATTAAAACCGAAAAAAGAAATGGAGATCTGGCTTTAAATAAATATTTTATTTTTTTCTAAGGCGGAATCCCGACCACGCAGACCCGGCATTACTTGATGTTATAAATTTAACTGCTATAGCTATTCGAAGGACTGATTAAAAATGTCAAAGAAAATCAATGCTTTCAAAAAACATGTGTCCAAGAAGATCAACTTGCATTGTTAAAGGGTGGTTGTACCGAAATGATGATGTTTACGTTCAGCTATCAAACTACGATCCTGATAAAGATAGCTGGAAAAATTCCTCATAGCCAAGATAGAATATCAAATATCAAAGCAGAAATATTAAAAAAAAGTTAAAGGAAAATTTATATGCTGAAACACGCAAGATTTGTCAGAACATTCGATTCCCGCTGGCGAGACGAAAAATATTATTTTTAATTCTTTGTGCTATAACTCTATTTTCTTCCTGATCGGCCAAGAGTTTGTTCATAAAGGACGTAATTAAAACTGGAACAGGTTTAATTTGATTTCATGTAAAGATTTCTATCGTTGGTTTTTATAAGTTTATAATTTGATTTTTCATTTCAGAATTCATATTATTACCTACTCAGAAGGTATTTAGAGAGTATATATCCCGGATGTGGAAGCTAAATCAACTTTTTATGAAGCTAATTCAAAAAAATATCAGATTTGCACAGATTGAATTGAGGAAGTAGTTGGAGTTTATTTGAATGTAAATCCGTCTGATGTCGAGCCATTATTAATCGAAATATTTGATTTAAAACATTAAGTTTCATGAAAGATTGCGATTAAAAAATTAGAAAACTCTAACTCAACAGCAATATTCTGCATTTCCGAATATCTTTTTAAAAAGGATATAATAATAAATTTTATTATTCCTCAATTTTTATTTCATTATACATTATATTACGAATAGATTTTCGGGGCTTATTAAATTTGTTAGCGATTTGTAGACTATTGAATGTACGTAATATAGAGTTGTTTTTTTAATGTATATACGAAAAATACTGTGGAATATCGTGGTTACACAAACAATTTTTATTATTATATGTATAGGATTATGTGTAATTAAAACATATTCGTACCTTATTGAAATTTAACAAAAAAACTTTTGTTTTTTTATGTTAGTATAAAATAAAAATATTGAAACTTCAAAAACTTGACAAACATATTTTGATATAGAAACTAATTATTATAGTAAATGTTATGTTTTTATATTATTTGAAAGTAGAATAGTTTATTGTAAATTTTGTGAATTTTATCTTTATGTTATAATATTAGTAATCATTGTTATATTCCTAAGTGCAATTATTTCTGCATTATTATGTAAAACTATGTATATTAGTTTAAAAGATAGATGCTTACGCCATTAATCCACTTGTTTAGAATCGATTTTATTATGAAATGATCCGCCTGTAACATAAAACTTAACATTATACACATGTGATATAATAATAAAAATATTTTTTTTTTCATAAATTTACCTTATTCAGTGTATTTTAAAACATTTTTTTCTATTTATTCAACGTTTATATTAAAGCAATGATGTTGAGCGTTTGTTAGTTTTCTTCATGTGAGTCAATCGCGAGTTGGTGGAGCAAATGCTCCAAGTAAAATAAAAAATAGCGCAAGAGTTTAGTAATAACGATATAGAAAGAAACATCACAGAAAAGATAAAAATTAACGCTGTAAAATACACCTTTAATTATGGTGCAAAACAACCGATACGGTCCAGTTTACGACAAATTTTATTGCGCTATATATTCCAAACATTTTTTTTTGGTTTTTATTCGTAAAGGTTACTACTTGTTTAATTTGAAACATTGTTTTTTAAATGAACATAGATGCAGAAGATTGTGGCTTTTGTTTTTTTACATGAACTAATTTCGATAATGATAACGATATGTGTGAAGTAAATAAATATACAGGTTTATCTGGAATATACGTTACAATTTTAATAAGAACGCTCAACTTTAAAATACAATAAAAAGATAGTCAAACACAACAAAAAAATTGACAAATCAATTATTTTAAGAATTTTTGTTTCAAAAATTCTTGCTAAAAAGTGTGTATATGTATATACATATATTTTATATATTTATATAAAAAATATTGACTTCTACTTTTCATCTTTCATCTTGTCATAACAGTTTTTGTACGAATCAGACCTTTACGCATTGATCTGAAGCTTTCCTCCGAGGCATATTATACAACTAGGAATTTCTTAATATGTTTCTAGCCGATACAGCACACGAGCTTTCTAAATGAATTTAAATAAGGTAAAAAATCATTGAGAAGCGACAAAAAAAGCAGTATCCAGTCAAGAGAATTGATGCCGTCCACTTTTCGAGGATGCAGCGCTCAAAACTCGATGTCATCAAAATGAAAATTCAATTCAGAAAGCGTCATAGTCGGGCAGTTTCGGCCGTCTAATAATCAAAAACTCAGGATTTTTTATTTTTGTTATAAATACGACAAAAAACAAACCAATAGAAAACATTGCGGAAATCGTTTTACGCGTGGATTATCTGATTTTCAATGCTCTGGTCGACACCGTTTTTTATAGCCAGCGGCGAGTTTTGTAGGCGAGGCCAATTGTTGGGAGTAGCCGGGGGCAAATTTTCGCGCTTGTAGTGGAAGAACTCCTCGACGTTTGTTTCTGGTAGGTCTTGTTCATGGTCATGCAGTCGATCTTGTCGGCGGGCGATGTAACATGAACCGAGTGCCGCTGATGTGGTGAGGCGCACCAACGTTAGCTCGTCGGACGGAGCAGTGGTCGTGGATCTCCGTGATGAAACCGGGTTTTAAATAGCACCAGGACTTCCACACCGAGCCCACGCATATCACTTTCAGTCCGCCTTTTTCTAGTTTCATTTCCTGTAAATTGCAAAGGGCAAAACAGTTTTTTACAAAACGCTTTTACGATATTTTATTGAGCAAAATAAACTTGGGGACGCTCAAAAAGAGTATTTTATGGACATCAAAAAGTTCAATCGTAACTTTGGCATGAAAAAATGTTAAGTCGAATTGAGTCAATGCTTCTATGGATCATTGCGCATTGTTTTGAATGGAAGTATGAACTAGAATTAAAATACGAAAAGCATCCAATTGAAAATTTTGGGGCCGAATTGTTCAATAAAAATTATCCATAGCCATTAAAGAAGGTCTAGTTTCGAGTGACCGTGAAACAGTTAGGCCTGGATAGAGTATATTGAAAAAAAAAAAAAAAAAATACAAAGATTATTAATATTCAGGACGTCAGGGTTCCGCGAAAAAATGAGAAAAAACGTGCATCGTACCATGTGTGCTTTTTCCGGAAACCGCAGGACACCAAATTTAGCAAGCTGCACGCCAGCCTGATAAAAGAGTTCAAGGCAAAGAGGATCGTTTTCTGTCACAGCCGATGGCCAACTCCTTAGTGAAACGAGGCGAATTTACACTTATTGAAGTCGGCGTGCAGATGCGGTAGCATTGCTCTGTTGGTCTTTGACTTCGAAGTACTGTTTGCATTGCCGGCCATACGTAGCTTATGGGCTTGGGTGCCTTCTGCAAACCATCCCAAGTCGTCCGAACACGTACTTGCAACGCCCTGTGCGCCAGCCCAGTATGCTGCGATTCGACAGAAAAAGTAGTATTTTATCCTATCTGGATTCCCGAACGAAAAGGTAGTCATTGCGCGAGCAGAGCGTGATCGCGCTCGATTTCAATTTGTTTTTTTCGTCGAGCCTTGCGAAAAAAGCGAAGACGGCATTCTGATGAAATCAGGTGTGGCAATATTACACTTCGTTTCGGTTTTCACGATCATGCACAATCGACGATGTATGAAGTTGCGATACGATCTCTCATTGTCCCCGCGAGTCCTCTCCCGTTTAAACGATGCGCGGAATGGGCAATCCGCGCCGGAAAAAGCGAGCAGCTGGACTCGCAAGCGCTTCAAAGCAGTTTTTCCGATGATAAACGACCGATCTTTATTGTGAAATTCCTTCGGGCGAGAGGGCGAGAAGGCGATGTGGCGTGCTCGCGAAAACAAATTGAAAGTTAGGGGTCACGTCACGGAAAAACAGAAACTGGGCTTGACATAAAAAACGTCGATGAGACAGGTGAACGAAATAGTTGGTGGCAGGCAGGTCCGATGGGCCAAGGGCGAGTCGCGCGGCAGAATCAATCGGCGAGTAATAATGGGGGCAGAGAGCGCTTACCGCTGCCCTCGTCGCCAAGCATGTGTCCCCCAAACCACCGCAGCCGTAAGATTTGCCGTCGTTGTCGATGAGCAGGCAGTTTGCTTCCTGTACCGGATATCAGCACGACGCCACCGTTGCGCACTGCTGTTTTTCAGGCTGCCAAGTGTGTCCGAGCCGACCTCGTATTGGCGCGCAGATGTTGGGTAGAGCCGGTGCAGCGTGTCAGCTAACAGTCTGTTGCTCTTCTCCTCCTCGCAGCCACTCAAGTTCAGGGCCCCTACATTTCAAAAGTCCTCTTCGTAGACTCGTGTGCCACTTACGCGGATCGCTTGTAGCTTGTCGCGGGAGTAGCGCGAGGGGGCAACTCCGAGATACGTTTGTCTTCGAGGAATATTAATGAGTTGCGCTCACGTGCGATGACAGAGTTTCTTATTATTTGGAGCGACCGCTGATGTCCCCAGTTACGATCAATCACTAATTTACTGCAGCGGCATACATTTTCAGCAAAAGCAAAACGGCGCTCAGACGTATCTCTGCACTTGGAGATTACGTAAGTAAATGGTATTGCATTAAAAAGCTGTCGATCGAGCCCAATCGCCCAAGACTAACGATTACCGTATCCCATGATGACAAACGTTTTCTAAGTGCACTGCGAGTCGAAATAAATCATTACGTGCTATCGTCCTTTTTGACCATTGAAGACATCGGAGCGAGTGGCGATTGAGTCGAATGAAAGTGGACGACGCACGGCAAGAGCGCGAGAAGAGAAAAAGTTGAATGCCTATGCGAGCACCGCGTGGAGTCTACGCGGACGCCGCGCGTCACGCGAGTTTCGCCACGTGCGCCTTGCTCGTGTGGCGCGAGCACGAAGAAGCAGCAGCGACCACATGCGGGCCCTGCGCCCGAGAGTAGGAAATGATGATTTTACGCCGCTTTAAATGCCACTTGCCGGCAGCGCAGCGCAATGGCATGTGCGCCCCGACGCGCAGTCCGAACACCCCGACGAGAATCTTCTTCAGTTTCGCGTAACGGCGGCGGCGAGCTCGCTTACTTGCACAATTCCCTCCATCGGCGCGTCTCCAATAATCATTGATTTATCACCCGACGCGATTGAGCTTTCGAATCCGCTTGACGACATTTGCAAATAGTGCGTCG